ATTGGGCTCAGAGGAAGAATCAATGCTCGAAGAATAAAACAGTTACTTCGACTGGATGACTACTATGCTTTTCGCAGTTGATTGTCGAGGTCTCTGAACAATTCTCCAAGGTATATACTATAATATCGAAAATGACGGTACAATTACAAAGAGCTTCAGTCAATAAGAAAACCTGCAGAAAAACCCAGGCACCTTGGTTCGGTTCTGGTGTGTTGCTAAGTATTGTACCCATAAATCAGGGTACTCCGATAAGATTCGATCGCGATTAACGATGAAAAATTGCTGCAGAAAAGGGTGCTCTTAAATACAAAATTAGGAGCAGTCACATATTTCCTTCAAAACCCTCCTATTCGTCCACTAGTCGCTAGAAAGCATCGGTGAAAGTACTTCAAAAGGGCGAACCCTCTCACCAAACCTATTCAAATGATGTCACATTTCAATTTTGGGCCCCAACGATTTCCCCAAAAAAATCTTCTTGCAGTCTGCACTTTCCCTCAGTTGCAACCTCCAGAAAGACGTCAGAGGTTGAAATAGGCGCACAAAAAATCAAGATTAATTCGCATGAGAAACATGGGTTGAAATAAACTTGAAAAGCATATTCAATGCTGGACATTTAAGTAACTATTTTTCGATTCTTTCAGTGAAATGATGCCATTATTCACAGCTGCTTTCGGTAATCGACATTTACAAAAATTCTTTTCCTTTCCGTAAAAAAAAGGTCTGAAAAAGACGATTTTGCTGGGTAAAATTCGATTCTGAGACGAACCGACCAATTTCAAAGGTTAGTCGACCAGTTTGCGACCATTCCGTCGTCTTGGGACGGCGCTTCAGATTACTGTAGGTTTGCGCCCAAACCAATCGAGTCGCTGGCATGCTCGAAGAGGAAAACGGAAATGAAATCGTAATTACCTTTTACCTACGAGAATCTGAGTGGGGACTCTATATAGAGCACGATGTTCTGGTATCAAAAATTACATCGGCAGTATCCAAGGGAAATATAAAAACAAAATACTGTAGGGGCCTTCAAAAAAGGTTAATCTTTTCGGGAAGCCTAAAGTTTCTCCCAGCTATAACACAGAAGTGAATAGTTTGGGAGTATTTTTTTTACTTTCAACAGAGCTAGACTTCTATTGAATATTCTGAGTTCTTGCAGTTCAATCGAATTCTGCTCATAAACCGCGACTTTAAATCCTATCCAATAAATTTAAANGAAATACAAAAACAAAATACTGTAGGGGCCTGCAAAAGAGGTTAATCTTTTCAGGAAGCCTAAAGTTTCTCCCAGCTATAACGCAGAAGTGAATAGTTTGGGAGTATTTTTTTACTTTCAACAGAGCTAGACTTCTATTGAATATTCTGAGTTCTTGCAGTTCAATCGAATTCTGCTCATAAACCGCGACTTTAAATCCTATCCAATAAATTTAAAGAGGAAGTCTCCTCCCCCTCCTTCAAATGGTGGTTTACAAGAAATTCGTCCCAGAAGGATGTCGCTATTACTTTCTAAAACATCTCAGTAAGTTACTAAAACACCAAATACAAATGAGAAAATCGCTGGAACACTATTCACAGAAGACCCTCAGATTAAGCTTGAACAAGATTGAAGATCAACAAAGAAGGGCTTACCACAGCATAGTAATTCGACGACATCGGGGTAAAGAATGAACTGGAACACACCGAACCACGCCCACTACCGTGTACCGCGCAAGATGATGGGTTGCTCGGTCGGTCGGTTGGTTGACGCTATTGAGTATGACGTGGGAAGATGGACGAAGAACACAACCTGTCGAACTGAAATGCATTCTTTCCTGCAAAAAGTGCTACCATAATGGTTCATATCTTACTGAACGAATGAGAACAGTCGAAGAGTGAAAAAGTTACTTTTCTGAAGCGCATAGGAATGATTTGCACGCCACTAGGGCAAGCATCAGACTGGCCACACTTCAGAACTGTTAGGTTGATGCATAATCATTGCGGATTTTCTCGCGACTATTTCTCTCACGGTAAAATTCGAATATTGACTTCGTATTTTTATAGAAATAAATCTCTCGCTTGGGAAACGGGCGTTAGGAACGATTTTGGGTAATCGATTTGCCGCACGCGGCTGTCGCGGACCACTCATTCGCCGTTATTACAGCTNTAGCGTTCTTCATACAGCTAAATCGATATGCGATCATTATTTTATGCTGAATTCTACTATTAGTACTTTTGTTCTTGTATTTCTTACCTACCGCTGCATCCTGCTATATTTCTTCGCGCGCGACGCCCCTTTCACCGCGACGCGACCATTTCGTTCCTTATGCACCACATCCCTCTCGCTTTCTTCAACTGAATCCATCTGAAAAGTCATCTTCACATTACGCTTACTACTCCAAGAAAGGTTGGATTGTGGCAGAGTCATTTCGCGATTTCAGCGAACTTTTCGGGATGGAACAATCAGTCAAAGCCAAGTAAGGAATGAGACCTGCTCTTGAATCCTTCATATTCACCGATAAAAACTGCTATGGATTATGACGTCAAACGTTCGTTGCAAAATTGGTTAGCCAACAGAACTCACGACGAAATGGATGACTTGATGTCCGATGTCAAGGGGTGGATTGCCTCCAAGAACCTCAACTTCTTTGCCTTAAGAAACCGACCGCTTAGCAAATTGAAAGCAGTGCTTGACGTAAATGGTGGATACTATTTGAGCATTCTTCTGTCCACTATATTTATCGTTCCTTCAAATGAAATTTGTTGAAAAAATCCGCAGTAACTATGCATCAACCTAATATTTTACTCTGCAGGGTTGGGGGGCTCAATTTGCATTTTGATTTATAGAAATAGTTCATTGATCATCTGGTTTGTACCACTACCCCGAACCAGCCAATGCACGTCAAACCTTTTATCGCAACGGTGCTCATCTCTGGACAACTGGTAATCTTTAGACGATAAACGAGTCATTCGTCATTAAGGGAGAGATACAACAGGCACTCAATCCAGTAAGCGCAAATCCGTAGCGAAATGGGCATCGAAGCTATCGAATTCCAATAGATGCTGCCGAAAAGGCTTGAACTCAATTGGAGGAATACCATCTTACACGACTCTGAAGAACGAATCGCCCGAGTTAGAGGGGACTTTGCTGATGGATAGATATCTTGCTTCGCCTATTTTTCAGGCTCCAGGGTTTAAAAAGCGATATTGATCTTCCTTCATAGCAAAAGTCTAGAAACAACCAACACGTCCTGAATGCTCTTTACTTGCTCACTGCATGGATTCCATTGCAGGAGGTGGTATAAGGCCAAATAGGGCTCCACCACACGCATGTTACGAGTAACGAATCCAGGGTTTAAATTAGTTCAGGCTAATCTGGCCTTCCACTCCTTACAGGTAGCATTTTTGTACTGGACTCATCTGCGAGGGTAAACACATTGACTCGTACATTGAATGATCGAATTACCGTGTAGGTCACATAGCATTCTTAGTAGTAGTTGGATGCATGGCGCACTCCGAAAATGGGATCGATCAACGTCAACAGACATTATCGTTTTATCCTTTACAAATGAAAGAACACTGTTCTTACAAGAAGTCTAAAAATATATAGTAGTAGCTGGCACCGCCCCCTCAAGAATGACAGAATGGAACTCAGATCTGATCGACTCCGAGCAAACCAGCTGTAGATGTACTGCTTCTTTGCTGCAGTGCTGGTACCTTACTTTCCTAAAAGAATGAAAACACTAACTAAAGCTTTTTTGACTTGATATTTCGTTAACTGTGTTATATCGCCGCAGTACGCGCTGCGAAAGTCTCGCAGGGTTGGCGATTTTTGAACAAAACTTCAGTCCCGAACGGGACACGAACCCGTACTTGTGCTCGGAAGGTGGAAGTAATGAGCGGTTCAACAGCATCTCTCCGAAGATCTCGCCAATCCATCCCTCACTTGGACAGTAGAATTTCTAAAAATCGTGAACCCAGAGCTTAGTTCACAGTAAGGTGAGTCTATCCCAATTACAGCATCTCCCCCGCAGATATTTGAGAAGCAAAAAAAAACATATCCCACCCTCCCACTAGTTGGCGAGATTCTGAAGATAGAGACCTCCAACTCGTTCTAACTTCGAACCAATTTTTGTAAAGCACTATTAAGGAGACCTATCAGCTACGCTTCCAAGGCTCAAGCCCTTTTCATTTCCACGGCTACTGTCTTTTGCGTAATTTCAATTAGGATTTCCGAGATGAAAAGACAGAGAAGAGCTTGCTCAGTACAATTCCATCCACGATGATGATGGGTCTGAGAAATCAAGTGCAGCAAAATGCAGCCCTACCTGGGAGAAGATAATTAGCGAAACCATCTTTGGATCATCAGAGCCTTCCAAAAAAAGTTACGAAAAACGAATACCAATATTGCGTAAACTCGGCTGCCATAGTTCGGTTAAGGATTTTGCATCCGAAAACAGGACATAGATGATTTCTGCATTGAAAAAGGTTTTGTAAACTTGGAATTGAAACGACGTGCACAAACAATATTAGAATGAACGGGCTTCACCTACATATAGCGAGGAATAGAAAAAAACAAAACCCCACCCAAACACCCTAAGCTCATAGACGGTACCAAACATCAATCAAATAGACAATTTATTCACAGCATGTGAAATTCATTCACATCATATACCACAGTTCATACCAGCACCGAGTAGCACCCTATTATGCAAATCTAGCGAAGGTGGCAGGAGATAATAAACAATGTTTGTTCCCCTGAGTGTTTTTTAATGATCCTAAAGATCAGCGATCACATTCTATATACAAGGACAGAATCAGAAAAACTGATATGATAAGTGAAGAAGATATGGTTAGTCCGAATGAATATGAAAGACAAAATGGCAAAGTATGAGAATATCAAGCAAAGACCGGCACAACACACGAACAAATGATAAATGGAAAACTGGATTGAACAACTGCAGTAATGAATAGAAAAATCTAACCTTCAAGACTAGAGTAATAGGAATATTAGTAGAAGTCTCTTCATACGAACTCGTACGAATCCCGCACATCACATTTGTGAAACTGATTTGGAACGAACACCTCACTCTGAATAAAGAGGTGGTAGTAATGTTCAAGATTTTCAGAAAAATTTACGAAAATGAATGTTTGTTATGTGGAAATCATTTTCTCAACTATTCGAAGGATGTAGTACTAATTCCCAAGCTAAGGGCTGACTAATAAGGCTACTGACTACAGTACACGCTGAGAAAGAGCTATTGTTATCGTTATCATTACCTACCCGGGTAAAACTTCTGTACACAAACACATAATGTCAAGAGAAACAACTTAAAGAACAACTCACCAAATGACGAACAAGATGATTTTCCATGTCGATGGCCCATAATTCGCTTCGAGCATCTGTTGAAATAGATCTAAAATAAGACTCTATGGTATATTCACTCATATGAGAATGTATTGAAAGAGTCTTTTATGAAAAAGTGATATAAAACAACTCAGAAAGTAACACAAACAAAAACAACTTTGCGAGAACGAAGTAGCATCTCAAAAGAAAAAATGAATGGAACTACTCGGAGTAATCACATGCGAGAGACCCTTCGATTGAAACAGTCTGAGATAGAATGATCAACTAGAAAATTTACCTGAACATTTCTCCCGAGATAGGGCGCCAATAATTTCCAGCCGGATTACCAGCTGCCAGTCCTCGAAGCCGTAGCAGACGTCCAGAGGCGTCTAGAGCCCAAACCACATTGTCACCAACCGCCAAGCTGCACAGATCGGATGTGTGGTAGGTCTAAATGTATAGCCCAATAAGAGACGTCTATTCGCAGCAAAAGCACTGAAATAGAAAAACCGCGAGCTTTTTGGCAAAAGTTCAACTAGAAGCCTACAGAGAATAAAGAAAAAAAAAAGGAATCTGGCGTGAAATGTTCAATATGCCAATAAATTGTTGCCGCAATTGAGAGATGGAAGAAGAAACACATGTGTATTTTCTGCCGTTTTCAAATGTGTCAATGATTAACCTCTGTCCATTTCATTCCGCTTGGATTCCTAGCGTTGATGTTAGCACGTGCCCATCCACGTCCTTTTACAATTATCCAGACATATATACCATTCGGAGAGGAAAAGATCTGAAAAAGTCTGTCTTATGGAGGTGCGGCCCTAAGAACAATCCAAAAGCTTTTTACGACCAGTCCCTTATTAATTTCCTGATCGAGTTTCAAACCAAATTGAAAGTCCTACCTAACTCTGTGCTCCACTTTGTGTTCCCATACGTCTTAACCCTTCCTATTTATAACCCCTTTAGTTCAGATTTCACCAATTTCATCTCAAAGCGTCTCTGCTTGACGCACCACAAGGTGAAGACGTCCAAACAAGGATGAAACACAACAATCAAGAGGTTGTATAGAGGATGACCCCTGATCCCAAGGAATTCCTACATAAATGTTAGCTTTTCTAGTACCACGAATAAACTAGATATTGTGCCTTGATGAACCTGCGAAGGAGTGGCATCTGCTGGAAGACTAGGAGGTGCAGCAATGGTTATCCAGCTGTCTGTGTTGTTTGGTTTAACCAAAATATGCCCATCGCAAGTGATTGCCCAGCTAGCCAACTCGCTATGAACCAGCGAGCAAGTTGCTTCTGAAATATTTCAACGTTTTAAAGTAGATAATGAGATCAGAATGTGAGTTCACCTGAGAGTGATGTATCCGCTTCCCATTCCAACGAATTCCCTGTAGAATGAAAAACTCGACCAGTACTGTCTATGAGTGACAACTTTCCACGTGAGGAACATAGCGATACAATCTGAAAGCTTGTGATTGAGAAAAATAAGCAGATATCATGAAAGGAGAACTAAAGAATGAAGTGTACGATATGCACTGAAATTTGCAGTTTCTACCAAAAACTGTTCCGAAAGGCTTCTCAAAATCTTTACCGCACACGAAATCGACGGCATATTCATGGTAACGAAATTCCGTTTTGCAGGACGATAGACAAATATTTCTGAATTCTGTCGACACACGTGGACTGATCCTGAAGACTAAACTTATAAACAAACCGTAGCGAGAAAATACTGAAATACAAACCTTCCTCCCCGTCAAATGATCCTGCTGAGATTAATGAAAAGTTGTCCAAGATCTCAAATTTTGTCGGTACCTCTCGAGGAAATCTGATGAGTAGTAATCCTTATAAGCATGTTAGCCGTACGGAATATCACAAGTCATAAACCTCAACTCACTTATGCCCAGAAACCGCACTTCTAGATATGTACATCATTTTTCCAACGCATAGAAACAGTCCAGCAGAGGACACTCTTAATAATGTGACAATGTCAAGTTATTCTATAAGGTAGGATGTAAAAATCCTCTAAACGAGGTCCAAAAAGTTTTGTTTCTTTTGTATAATAAAAACACACTTTAGTGAAGGACGTGAAGAGGTGTGGCAAAGCTTTAGTTAGATGCCCAACGGTTAAAATATACGGATTAACGTGTAATCATGTATGCTAAAACTCACCTTACAGTCCATGCATCGATTGGTGCCGTTTTGCCACCAATATTAGGTAAACAAATCTGGATAAGTTTAGTTTTTTCATAAAACATGAATAAAAATTGAAAGAGACTTCAAAACGAGCGAATTGTGTGGATATCAAACCTTGAAAAACGCATCACTGCTTCCATAGGGATGATGGTGATCAACTCCTGCCGTCATCCAAAGCTGACCATTACTATCCAACGCGAAGCCGTAGGTATCAAATACACAAACCGACACTAATTTCGAAGGACCTTCCGGACTGGAAAAAAATCCCTTAGATGGATTCTCGATAATAAACTTATCAGAAGTCGGATATAAATGAACTTACATTATTTCTACCCAATCCAAACCCATCTTGCACCTTGCCAGCCCTACTCGTACAACTAGTCCACCAGTATCCGAACGTATAGCCCATACAGCATTTTCAGACACAGAGATGGAAATTAGTGGCCAGTCTCGATCAACTTTCGAGAAAATAGCTTTTTCAGGAAGCTCCATTTGCAGAGACACCTAGGATGGTTGCAAGCCCAAATGATTTAGGAGTTCAACCGAATCGAATAATTCCTTCCCAAGGGAGCCTGACTTACCAATTCATTCCCAAGGGAGCCTGACTTACCCCTGCCCTTGTTATATACCATGCCACGCTGTTGCCGACGGACACCTCCAGAACTCCACCACCGTCCACTGCACATTCTTCAAATTGCGTGGTTGCACTGAGTGCCTCTGTCGCACAAAATCCGACATTCCGGCGAACCATCCACATGATAGACTCATCATCTAAAATGTATAAATAGAGGCATTCATATGGAAGGAAAAATAGGAAGCAACGTCACCATTAAAGGAAACGCTGTCAGCGGACCATTTCACGGCATGCCAACCAGCATTCTTTGCGCCTACATCATCGAGAGTAATAAAACGAGGTGATTTTTTCTTGTGGCATATCAAAATATGTTGCTTTCCAACAACAAACGATTTTGCCGTATACGGAAGAGGAAGCTGAAAAAAAAACATGGATCAAAAAACGTACAAATGTATAAAAAAACGTGGAAGAAATTTAAAAAAGTGCATACAAATACAAAATGACAATAATAAGTCTTAAAAAATGGAATTCTCGGTTCTCTGTTAGTCACAGTTAGAGGCCATGAACGGGGGGATAACAAGCGAAGCCCACACTATTTTCCATACGTTGATTTACTCAAACCATCCCACTCTAATCTTCAAAAAAAAAAAAAAACAGATCAGATAAAAGTATATGTGCTCACAAGGAGATTTGCAACCTTCCAAAAACTGCTAACTTCCCCAAAAAGCGAACTTTCACGACTATTGTACATACTTAATCACAGGATCCTATACAACCCAACAAAATCTTTCCAGGTCCCTTCAATAAGATTCTCATCTAGATGTCTGCAAAAGATAATGACAATGATTGCTCCCATCTACATCGACATTAAATGGCTTTCGCAAAACGAGGAAAAAGAATCAGAGTGACGTAAACGATTTCTCAGAGGTTTGACGAACATAGACAAGAATGAGAGTTTCAAAATCAGAAAAAAANAAAAAAACAGAAGAAAAAACAGACACAATGCGATAACGCAAAAACTCAAATTACATAAACGAGAACAGGAAAACCAACCTTTGTCCATATATCAACGCGATCGTTCAACACCAAGTTACGACGGGACCTTTCACCATTAACCTTATTCTTCATCTCATTTATTTCCTTCGAAACTTTTGCAACAGCCTAAACGTTTCAGTTCGAACAAAGTAGAAAACACCCTAAAGAATTAGCCCAATAAATTTCGCCATACCTCACTCTTCAGATCAGACTTTTGAGGCCCATTCTGCTGCAAGAGGTATTCATAGGCAACCGTGACCGATTCTGCTACCTGAACCGACTCGCCCAGGCTTTCAACGATTTCCTTTGATAGCTCATGATCTTCACTAGGAGCGTCATCTGCTCGTATCTGATCACCACTATCTACACGCTCTCTCGCTTCGTCTAAAATAACAAAGTGAGAAAATTACTAAAAAGAACGTGGCACATCCCACGAACCATGCTCAGGTCTGAGCATTTCTGAGGCAGCAGGAGCATTATCCTTTGGTAGAGAACTTATGTTCGCGGAATTCTGCTCATCGGATCGACTATCTGCACCATTTGGACTATTTCTTGAGCTCCATATAGGCGTGCTATTGAAGCTGACACCAGCAATGCTTGGACTGTCGCTTGAAAACGCGTCACCGAGAACTGAAATTGAAAAAATCTACACAAGGCGAGGAAATCGAGGGTAAGAATGACTGCCTTATTGACCTTGCCTTCGAAGAGCAAGGAGAGTACTTTCATCGATTGAAATCGAATCGTCTTGCTGTTTTTCAATGACATCATGCGAGTCAGAATGAGACAGCTTTTTCCGACGGGCTCCTTTTTCTTTACGCACTACCGTAATGACTGATGGTTCCTCCACAGCTTCTGAGAAAAGAGTAATTATAACGTTTGTTGCCAAGATAGGACAACAACAGGAAATATACTTCAACTTAGCACTCAGAGGAAGGTCGTCAAGTGGCTTAACCTAGCTATTCTGTGCTAACCATAAAGAATGAGAGAAAAATCGAAATAGGGGGTTGAACTTGATACTAATAAACAAATGGATGAGCTTGACACTATGAATTTCGGCGGAGAGGTGTACAACCTTACCGCGGAGAAGCAGACATAAGAAGCTCATTTTCAGATGGAGTCCTATGAGAATTTAAGGCTGCCATGAAGAAAACGCTTTTGTGCAAAACTTACCGTAAGCACGATCCGGTGGGCTGGGTACAGTAGCTGGTCTGATTTCGTCACGACGTCCCTAAAGCAAAAAAATTGGCGCGCTTCAAACTAATACATACAGAAAACGCCCAACAAATGACATTGCGACTGTAACGACCTAGATTTTCGGTCAGCGAACGAATTTTTCCTTTTAAATACAGCGTATGACTTACGAAAATATTTTCGTCATTCACTGGATCCACAATATCAACCACATTCTGAAGGAGATTGCCTAGATCTTCTTTTATATTAATTTTACTCCAAGCATCCTCCAATATGTTGGGAACTGAAAGCCACTTTTTTTAGGCAAAAAAATCAATTTAACCTTAATGAGTAACTAACTCACCGTCGGAATTAGCACCAATATCTTTCGCAGTATTCACAGCAGTGTTGAAAAAAGCGAAACCTCTCTGCGTTATTTGGGAAGCACCGTTAGATAATAATTTGCGTGGAGAAGACAACAAAGAAGCGATGGGAGGTTCAGGTTCTGAAATGCAACAATCTTGCATACCGATATCAAGAAATCCAACTTTCGACAAACAGTGGTTTACTCAAGCCTGAAGAGGGTGATAAATAGCAAAAAGGTTGTCAAGCTGAAATGTTACCACTTAAAATAACAGTGAGTACCTGATTCTGTTAAGGATTTCGAAACTGGAGTTATTCCTATTCGATAAATGTCGTGTGGCTTCGTAATATAAAAGACAGAATCATCGGAATCCACGCAAAACCCACCAACAAAGCAGTCAATCTGAAGAAAGTTTGTAAACATTAGCGGAAATTGCTAGATGCAAAGTCACCACAAGCTAAACATGAAAGAAAAGATTACGTTGACACTGCTTTTCCATAAGACTTCCAGTGACTTTATCTCATAAATCAAAAATGTATTCGAGCTCAACAAAGCAACAAGTTTCGAGCCACTTTCATTCCATTCCACCAAATGAAACGACCCCACATCATCTCCCTGAAAATGAACAATTAGTCTTACTTTTTCTTCTCAATTGTTTGGTACCATAAATTAAGAACAAAATAAGCCAAACTGTGCCATAACTGCTTACCAATTGTTTTACTTGAATAACCTCGTAATTTGAAAAATTTGCAGTGTATTTACATATAGAAGACTTCTCAACAATATACACAAAATCTTTCGTACATTTCAAACTCAGGATCATTTTTCTGAAAGCAAGAATGTTTGAGAAAGTCTGTTGCTTTATAAAGCAGAAGAGCAATCGAGCTGAGCTTTCAAGCTTTTCAAGAAACAATATACTGCACTCATATTTGCAAGCACTGGCACCCTACGTATAGTACGTCAACCACAGTACACAAATCAAGGAAATTTGGAAAATGAACATATGCCTCATAGTAACAAGTTTTGGAAAAGCACCGGATAAATGGTATAAGCTTACACACACAAAGAGTACTGAAGAAGCACGAGAATCCAAAATAAACTTACATAGTTCCGTTATCAGAGATAACATCAAAATTAGAGGGTATTCTAGAGTCGATCACAGCTAGCTGTAGGCCATTATGAATGACCACTGAATCTTCCTTGAATCCTAGAGCGACCACGGAATTCGGTCCATCGAAAAGAAAACTATGATGAAAATCACCCTAAACAAGGAAGGGCTCCAATTACGAATACATGCACCAAAGGGAAGGCTTTTCTAATCGAATATTTGTATTTTTCAGCTAATACGGTAGGTGTGGGTCAACGAATTGTTAGTATTCATTTGCAGTCATATCCTTCTGACAGTGTACTTCATTGAGACTTCGGCAAAACCTTTTTCAAAAAGGAACACCCTAGCAGCAGCTAAGTGTTCCCACAAATCTGCTACGTTGATAGAAGACGAAAAAAAAACTCGATGAATTTATCACATCAACAACGTACCGAGTCAAACATAACAGTGGATATTATCACAGTACCAGAGGCATCCCCCGAAATCACCTAAAACAAGTTGAACTTTGCACAGGAATTCTAATCCAGTAATCCAATACGTCATGAAAGATAAGATTACTGGGGCAATAATGTAGAGAAGACAGCAAATATTCGAACAATTTATTTTCATACCTTGGCGGCATCAGGACTCCACTCAACACATGTTACGGGAGAGCCCCGGTGACTATCTGTATCGATACACTGGGCTATCTAGAATATGCATGTTTTTATACAAAAAAATACAGAGCTATATAATACGTCCCTCCAAAAGCATAAGCTTCCACTATAGTAACAGAAGGGTTCACAGAAGAAGGACATCAGAAATGTAGCCGTAATGGCAACCTTACCGTGGTTGTCCCTTCACGATCATTCGGCAATCTTATAACTATTAGCGTCCCAGTATTGTGACCAATGGCAATAAAGTCATCTATGAGACGAATACAAGTAACTGCTTCAAAGCTATTGGTGCGAAGCCTGAAACACAGGAATAAACAAAAAAATGAAAATAAATAGCATCTGAATCAAAAATAACCATAAGAAAAGATGTTATGAAGAGGGCTAATGGTACCCGCATGAAGACAGCATTTGATCTATACGGGGAGAAAATCTTCTACGCTAATCGACCATAATTTCGGGCGCGCCACGTACTAGACTTACGCTCAAAAATGTACGAAGGTTTTAAAGGAAACTTCATAGTCCACTAGAAGCATAGATGAACTTTTGACCGTAGTAAAGTCGACTAGTGAATGATTCTCGTAGGCAATGTTCACAGCATGACTTTTACATTCCCTTTATGTCCCTCTGTTGGATGATGTTCAATGAACAAGCAAAAAGGAACACAAGGACGCGCTCCCATCCATAAGTCTAGTGGCCACTCACACAGCACTTATGTGTTTTTTGTAGAAATAAGTGAGTCGTAAACTTACGGCCTTAGAAGTCGTCCAAGTTTTTTGCTGTAAATAAAAAGCGCTCCACATCCAGCGCCTATAACAATGTATTTCGAAGAAGATGCTATGCATGTCAGCTCAACAGGGACAGTTCCCAGATCAAACGAGTCAGGAATCTGAAAAAAGGGAGTCGTAACTCACTCCTTATACTTTTTTCCCAGCCTGAGTGTTTCTTTTACGGATCATGCTACCAACTAGTAGTAAATGAAGGAAAAAACTGACACCACGTGATATCCCGTCCAAACTGTCGCAGAAAACTTCTTGACTACGATAGCCTTCAGCCGAAGTGTTTGGTTCATTTTGGGGTGACTCCATTTTAATGAACAATCGGAGAGAAGTACGGATAACTCATCTTAAAATCAAAGCACTGGTACCAGTAGAAGTAACCAGGATTAGTTGAAAACGACCACTGCGACCATTCAAAAGGAAAAAAAAGCTGGAAAGTTCTCGAACAAAGCGACTGATCCAGTTCCTTGCGAATAAATGCAAGTCCCCACTCGCAGAACCCTGGTAGAGAACCTGGCCTAGGTAAGGGAAAAACATTTGAATGACCTAAAGAAATGACCACGTGCTGCTGGAAAACGGACTTGTTGTTAATGCATACCAAGTTCACTGCAATCCAGAAAGCACTGCTAAGCGACTACCTAATTTGGAAGCTTCTAAACTATTAAATGAAGTTAGAGCAGTCAGTAAATAGGCAACCATGTATTAAAAACAACTCCAACAGTCGCGTAAGTTGTACTTCAGGAAACATTGTGTAATTACGTACTGGAGGCGAGTACCGTTTCCTCACGCCTACCGTTATTCTCCACACAGCTAATGGCCGCGCACAAGAGGACCTGCGCCCCGCCATACTTCCTTGATACTCATTATATTCGACTGTTATGTTCTACGTTACCTACTGCTTACTGCAAACTACAAAGGAAGTATGGACACCGATGTTTTCCTTCATGTCGGACCATGGTCCCAGCTGTTGACTCCAACCATTCTCCCCTCACCTTCCACTGTGACCAAAACCAACGCCATTTTCACCTCTGTACTCGATCAAATTTTAAAATGCTTTATTCTTCAAGTTTATCAGCAATATATACACAATCAATAGAATTTGTACATGAGATCTCAATCAGGTTAAAGGCACTCAACAAAAGGAACTATCTAGGCCTTAACCTTCTTCGCCGTTTTCGGCTTTGAAACCTTAGGTTTCGTGGCCTTTGGCTTCGTGGTTTTGGCAGATGGCTTCTTGGCTGTCTTGGCCTTGGGTGCTTTAGCCTTCTTGGGAGTCTTCGCTTTCTTCTCGGCTTTGGGTTCCTTTGCTGCTTTTTTCACCTTCTTGGGACTCTTCGGTTTCTCAGCACCAGCGGATTTCTTGGCGACGCTCTAAAAAGAAATCTATTAATCTCAGAACTGCGAACAAGGAAATCATAATTTGGGAAAAACTAGGTAATTAGTTATGCTCTAACCTTCTTAGCAGCTGGAGCAGCGGCCTTCTTCTCTCCGAGCTTGAAACTTCCGGATGCACCAGTGCCCTTTACTTGTACTAGTTCTCCCTTGGCAACACTTCGTTTGAGAGCCAAGCGTAGTTGAGAGTTGATCTGGAAACACGAGTAATGAAATCCTGTTCAAATTAATTCCCAT